AATGCTAAAGTCAGGCCATATAAGAGCATGGTTGAATTGCTTACTAGCAAGCATTAGATTTGCAGCACAAGTTGCATACACATCAGAAACAAGCAGTCCTGCATCTCCCCAAAAATGCAATAAAACAGCACAGGCTGTGAAAAACTACTCAGGCAAATTACACTGGTACCAAGCTCATTTGGGAAAGTCCATTTCACTTGTTGAGCAGCAGCATATGGCTGCTGCTCCATGGTCTGAATGGCATGCTGCTGTTCTAGAACTGATGAGATTGCCTTACATTTCAGCATTGTAGTAGACTGTGGACATATCAGCTGGTCTGGCATCCACAATAAGTGCAGATGCAACTTTTGTGTAGGTGCTCTTAGTTGCAAGCTTATGGCTGAAATCAGTCCAGATTGGAATCACCTGAGCATGAACAATGTCAACATCATTTGGTACTGGTAGGACATCATGAGGTAGCAGTCATAAAAGACAACAGAAGAGATCTCAAACAGCAGTCATTTGTAGGTGACAAAAGTACTTTTTCCCATGGTGAATCAGTTCTGGACATGTTCTATGTTTTTCAAATGCTGTACACTGCACAAGAGACTCATTGCCTGGAGAGAGTAAGTGACTTTTCTCTCCAACACTTCAGTGATAGTCCAGCATCACAAGAAATATCTGCAGCCTGTTGTTGAAATACCACTCTAGCCTTTCATTGGAAAGTATTATTTCCATCAATGGCCTCTACATTGATGTCTATATCATCATCTCCTTCATGGATGGAGATTTTGAATTTGTTAAATACTATGCACTCCACAACTAAGAGGCATCATCTTTGAATGTATTCGGAACTGCTGGCTGAATTATATGCCTCAATCAACCAACAAGACACTCCTGTTCCAATTGGGGCATAAAAGCAGACGACCTATGACAACTACAATGACCTGGCTTTGGATAATATACCGAGGCTTTCATTTTGGCTATTTCAGACACAAGGGTTGAAGTGGCATTATATTAAGCTACCTGTTCATTTAAAAGCTGTTCATCAGGCTCACATGCCAGAAGAACATCTACAAACGATCTCAATGACTTAAGGTCCTGTTTCAGATTAACTAGCAGCTTGACTAAAGTCAGATAGTGTTATTGAGCTGGACAGAATAATGATAAACTTGCCTTGTCCACTCTATTCATGGCATGAAGTTTCAGACGTTGAGTTTTTCTAATCTTGCCTGTAAGTTGCTACTGAAATAGCTTGCGGTATCTACATCTAAGGGAAGCAGGGATTTATATCTTTGTAGCAGCTTGGAAAGGAGAAGAGCCTTCTTGTTGTACATAAGATCATTGTCTCTCTCTTCAATCAGCTGGTAAAATGAAATGTCACAAGATGATTATTGTTGCAGTATAACTACATGGCTTTGCTTTAAGATTCATTTTACTCAAGTAGGAACAAAGGCATGTTGAGTGATAAACTGCATCCTTAGCACTCATGTCTTGCATAGATATTCCATGAAACGTCATCTCTTCTTTGAAGTGATGCCTCCCTTAGTTTGGTTGCTCTCTCAAATATTTCTATTTTATGATGTTTCTTGTCCATATTGTGTGCTTTGCCTCAGGCCAACAATGCAACAGGAGCAAATGCTGGAGGGCGTGCTTGCTCTGGTGGCTACAGAAACAGGTGAATATGATACTCTCTGATAGGATTCAGAGTCTGTTTTCTTTCCTGGGTCCAGTACAACTCTGACATGTACTAAATTCTACTTACTTATGTATTTCTGAAAGCAAACCCTGTGAAGAAGTATAGGTAGCACATCATCTAAACTAGAAAACTTATCCAGTAGCTGCCAATACAATTCATCTCTCCTGGCTTCTGCTACTGCACCAAGAATTCTGTCCAGCATTGATGGATTTTGACAATTTTACATTCTTTTGATTTTCTTGACAAATAACATTTTTCAAAGTTTGTGGAGAGTCTTTTCTATTTGATGTAAGCTTTAAGAGCCTTGTATCCACCATATCTTCATATACTGTAACATCCCTGTAGAGGTAAAATTCCCAAAGGATATTGTTAGCATTACCACCACCACTTCTCATTTTGTACAAGTATACAGATATATGCTAAATTAGATATAAACTAGATCTGTTAGTATCAAAATTGCCATTTTTGTTTGGTGAGCACTTTGACTGAAGTCCAATACGAAGTTGTGTATTGCCATCTCTAAATTAATACTGATCTGTGCATAAGTGTCACCGGATTAAAAACCTAGTTTTCAGAATATTTCAAAGGCTAGTACTGTATGCACAGGCAATGACAAATTAAAGCCTTCCATCAGGCAGACTAGATGCTACATTGTATGTACAAAGGTTTACAAATGTAGAAGTATTACATTAGGAATTCATGTACACTTACATGTCAGCAAATTTCAGCTGAAACTATTATACAAACTATTATAATCACTTGGTAGATACTTTGACAATTAAGAATATGTGATGTGAAAACATTTCATTTTAGCATATTGCAAAATAAAATACTTGTCCATGCAAAACTAATAAAAATCTTTTAATACATTGTCATTTGATAGCTTTAACCAATAAATACCACCTTAAGGTGTTGAAATTAACTTAAACAGTAAAAACTGTAGCCCATCATATTCCAGTACTGTGCAAAAAAAAAAAAAAAAAAAGACACTCACTTTGGCTACTGTTGTTTCACCCTGCCTATAGGCTTACAGCACCACTTGACTGCTCCACATCGTACCTCATCTAAAGGTATTGTGACAAAGTTCTTCCTCTATCTTGGTGGGTCCTGCGCTTATTGGCGGATTTTCCTGCCTCAGAGATTCACCATGTGGGTTGGGGAACAGCCCAGAGACCTTTCCCTCTGGAAGAACCCACAGTCCAGGTCAATTGGGAGGTTTGGGGGGAACCCGGGCCCGCCCTCTACTCCGGGTTTCAGCCCAGGGCCCTGTGGACTGCAGCTGTCTATAGTGCCTCCTGTAACTGCTGCATGACAGCTACAACTCCCTGGGCTACTTCCCCATGGCCTCCTCCAAACACCTTCCTTATTCTCACCACAGGACCCTCCTCCTGGTGTCTGATAACGCTTGTGTTCCTTAGTCCTCCAGCAGCACACCCTCTCACTCTCAGCTCCTTGCGCCTCTTGCTCCCAGCTCCTCACACTCGCACCACAAACTGAAGTGAGCTCCTTTTAAAACCCAGGTGCCCTGATTAGCCTGCCTTAATTGGATTCTAGCAGCTTCTTAATTGGCTCCAGGTGTCCTAATTAGCCTGCCTGCCTTAACTGGTTCTAGCAGGTTCCTGATTACTCTAGGTCAGCCCCTGCTCTGGTCACTCAGGGAACAGAAAACTACTCATCCAGTGACCAGTGTATTTGCCCTCTACCAGACTCCTGTACCCCACTGGTCTGGGTCTGTCACAGTATATAATAAAATAATAATAATAATCATCATCTTTTAAATTATATATGATGTGGGTGTGTGTAGGGTTGGTACATTAAATTCCTAAATATGTCCCTTTCTGGAGAATTGCCACATGCTCATCTGCAATGATTACTGTAGCCAGCAACACCCACACTGCCCTTTCCCAGACGAACAAAAATTCTACAGCTTAGATAACGTTCCTTGCTTATTCTTCTCAACATGTATCTCTCATACTCCTCTTCGAATTCCTCCATTAGCTCTGTGACACAGAGACCCATTGGTACCAACGGGCAAAGGATTCACTGTTCTTTACAAGCAACTGTCTCAGACCAGACAAACTCACTACACCTAAGACACACAACTTTCATGGCATTAATCCAAGGAGGACATCGTATGAGGTCTCTACTGTAACTTACCAATACTCAATCACTGCAAGATGTGTGTATGGTTAATATTTAAGGAATAACATAACTATATTGAAAATTATATCCTTTATGGTCTTGAAGTTAAAATGAGTCACCAAGAAACCCGAAGGCTCAGTATTGGCCCATTCAAGCAGGAGGAAGTTGTCACCCCTCACTGGCTAGCCAATTATGGAATGTACTGCTCAACTGTCCACTGTTGCAACAGTCCAGAAAGGTCAATGGAAAACCATATGAGAAACTATAAACATCAAAACCTGTTGGAGGTAAAAAGGAAACGTAACAGACAGGGCATCTCCCTGTTTGTTAATAAAGACAAAAGACTGATTCAGTATATCACAGGGTAGAGAAAGATACTTTGATTCCATTCACTGAGGAGACATCTTGTTGAGCAGGGTTGTTTCAGGAAAGATTGGATCTTGGTTCCCGTACTATGCGTTATACGGCAGTGGTGATTTAAGGTAAACTGGGGTTCACTGCTCCTCTGAGAGCAGAAGGCTCTGGGATTTCTGTGAGTACCAAGTGTCAGGGGCTGGATATCACAGGGGAATGCTTAAAGAAGACTCAAGGACTTAGATGCACTTCTTGTTAACCTGCAAGGCAATGACAGGGCTGGCATAGCCTGGAGGAGAGTGCTTCCATGGCTGAAAGGATAGAAATGTTAGGGAGCTAACACCCAGCCACTATAGGCAAGACTCCCTCTTGTTAGAGGGTACTCTACAAACTCATGAGTTTCCTCTTTATCCATCATATACAATTGCTTGTACTTACTTTCATGGCCCTTCACAGGTCTGCACCTTCCCAATTATCCACCCCACCTCTTAACACATCCAACATCCAACAATACCAACCTCGTCCACTTTGATGGGATCATCTCCATCCTTTATTCGACACTGCCCCTTTATTCATGCAATGCCTTCTCTTAACTAGTTTGTAAAGCCACTCTCCTCCTCCATCTTTTTGCAGGCAGTACACAAGAAGTGACCTTGAAGATGGTATAACCAATGATAGTGGATACGTTTAGAGGTTGTTGGGTATTGCTGATAAGTTGGGTTTTCTTAAAAATTAAATTGTACATTCCAATGGTATCCCTCTCCCCAAAGCTTTCCTGCCTGTTCCGATTCCATTCATAAATAAAGTGATAGCAACTGTACAGTACCTTTCCTTCTACTTTATAGCAGTTTTCAGAATTGCACATTTTGATGTTTTTGCCATCTATTCCCTGGAAGACGTACAAAATGTCTCTTACAAGGTTTGCTTCAGTTATTTCAACATTGCCTAAAAAAAGAGAACATTGGTTAAGACTGTTTAGATTTGTAAGGATACTTAGATTATTCTTCTTAAAAGTTAAGAAAAGCTTCTGAAAAACAAAAAAAGACTTCCTTCCATTTATTTTAAGTTTTCCATGATGAAATTGTCCTGAAGAGGCACAAAGAGAGCCATATGCCTATACCTGAAAACATACCAAAGCAGTTCAGCCATCAGATGCGTGTGCTCTAAACTTAGCACAACATTCCAGAGAGTATAAAAGGAACAGACAGCCTTTAAGGTCAACTCCGTTTTGATCTTACCATAAGTGTAAGTAGCCCTGAATAATTCCTTGTCCTTTCTTGACTGCACAGTTGAAACTTGTTTGTTGTTTCAGAATTAATTTTTCAATAGTCTCCTTTGGAGACAATAAAGCTCATCCATGAAGGAGATCTGCTTATTAAAAAAATGTTTCTTGTGAAATCAGGATATTTTTCTCATATTTAAAAATTACTCCAGTGTTGGGTGCTGGGAGATCATTCAAACGTTTTCACCTGTACAGCCTTTAAATCCCAGGCAAAGTAAATGCAGAGAAAAATTTAAGTTATGCTCCTATAAAAAGTTCTAGCTCTTGATTCAGTACAGCTTAAGGTGCTGGAGCATCCAATTTGTCCTCTAGTTCACAGCTCTGATTGAAGTCCAGACTGCTTTTGTGCCTCAGGCTATTTATCAATTTACAGAAGGCAATTCAAGACAGTGAGCAGCTTTTCTTCATTTGCTGGGTCTTCCAGTATCCTGTACTTTTGTGACCCTATTTGAGGCGAAGAACAAAGCCATTTCAGTCTTGACGATGCTCTCAGTATCAAATACAGATTCTGTCTTAATAGGATGCTGCCTCTTCTGGAATTGGCAAGAGAGCTGTCCTGTTTGGGAACCCCAATGAGTTCCTTTATCTTCTCCCCCCCAACTTTTATAATAAGACACGGTGTGCCTGGTTTAGGCTAAGGAAGCCAGCTGGGTCATCTAAGGACACAACCTACAGAAGCCAAGGGAGGCTGGCGTCATATCAACATCCAGAACCTTAAGTGTAGCAAGGTTTTCTGAACACCTCACAGACAAATAACGCTAGTCTATGTTATGCTTTAAGACACTCCCATTAGTCAAGAGGGTATAAATTCTCAAACATAGCTGAAAAGTATTACCTGAAGAAGTTTATTTCACAACAGAGAAAAGAAAAGGTTCTCCAAAGTCACTGTATCTGCAGATCCATATGAACCTTCTTTTCCTTTCTCCCTTCTTCAGAAAATCAATAGTCTGGAGGAAGGAGAGAGGAACTGAGGGCATATGACAGTGTGGTGTGGGATCCTTTTATAGTTTCAGCTAAAATGTGGGTGCACTCTTACATCTAGCATTTCAACTGTAAGACAGCTCTAGAACAGGTTCACAACTCCTGAACTGCACATTTGCAGAGGCAATATCAGAGAATGCCAATTAACAGTAATCAGCCTATTTACAGAGCTCTGTAATTATCTGTACATTTTGTAAATTTTAATAGCTGCCTGTTCTTATATTTGGAATCTGGTTTTACTCTAAAAAGTGACTGACACTTCATGTACACTTAATATAATCTGTTCCTTGTATGAATTAAGAGTCATACCTGCTGGTACATTGATAAAAATAAGTTTTTACTACTTTTAGCATTGAAAAGCTAGCATGACAATAAGAGACTGTGCTAAATTATATATTTCCTCTTGTGCATTCACAGTATTGTTAATCAGATTCTAATTGCAAGGCCAAATTCTGTCTTCAGTTACAAATGTACACTCCATTTGGTCTATCTTTTTTTCTAGCAACAATACACAACTGGAATAACCCAGCTTGATTTTCAAATCCAGGATACATTTAGCAGGGCTGGCAGCTAGGAGATCTTTGATTTGCTAACTGACCACATTTATTCAGGAAGCAATTTTAAAAAAATGGCATTGGGAGGCACCTTGTCTCTTTTTAAGTCACTATTCAGCGTTGATCTTGTTAATACAAGAATGGGAGAGGTTTCTGAATACAAGTAGGTGGAAGGTTAACTTTCCTCAACAGCTGCTCCACAGTTGAGTTAGCTAGTTAAACTGGTCAAATTCTTCGCTCAGTTAATGTAAATCCAGGAGTGGCTCCTTCAAAGTTTATTCAGTCCAGATTTACAGCAATGTAAATAAGATAAATTAATCGATTATATTTAAAAAATGACTGCACTATTCACTATTATCACTGCAAACTGTGTCAGCGAGGTGGTACTTCAAGGACTGTGTACTCAGATAATAAAAAACACAGTTACACATTTTACTTATCCATCAGACCCTCGGTTATAGCGCGGGACTGCGCATGGATCCCAAATTTAATTACCTTCATTGGAATCCGCGTTCTAGCGGGGGTCCAGTGTATATGTGAATATAAATAGTTTCATGTGTTTTGGGATTTTGTCCCCCTTGTTATCCATTTCCCCTAAAACTTTTGATCATCATCATCGACACTGCAGCTTTTAAGAGCATATTCATTCACAATTCATCTGCTCTGCTACTTGGTCCTGCTGTCCACGCTACTTGCAATATCAAAGAAAAGATGAATTTTGAACGGGGAGAATGTGTACTCAAACCACTTTCCCCCCCACAGTAGGAACATAGAAAAGTTAATGGCCAAATACACTGCTCTTTTGTATATGTGCTGTCTTCCTAACTTCAAATCTGTCCTTGTGGGAAAGTTCTTCACATATAGTAACATACAATGGAACAGAAGCTATTCCCAGGAAGAGTACAAAATAGTCACAACAAAACAAGAAAAGAAACAAGTTGCAGGGAAAAAAAAAAAAATTTTTAGTAAAAAATATCTTGCTCACCACCTGTCTCCCCTTCTCGCCTTGACCTTGGCACATTGCGAGACACAGTGTTTGGAAGGCCTTTTGAGGTAGAGCTTTGTAACGAAGGCTGGCCAGCAGTTAGAGCCCAAGCAAGACGTGAACCCAGCTGTTGACGAAGGCAGTCTCCCACCCCTGGAGCTTGATAGGATTGTCTAAAAAGACAGGAAGAAAACAATGTTAACAGGACAGTGTGTGAAGTCTGCACAGCTGCTCTGCAGATGAACCGAGGACCTCAGTATCCAAGACTGAAAGGCACGTAAACTTCACAGGCACCAAGCTGAAACAGAGTGTAATGCAAAAGAGTGACATGAAGATATTCACTAACAGGAACTGTGAACAAGGTAACCATATATCCTCTCTATTCCTTCATTCACCCATCTGTAACATGTGGTCGGTAAGCATACTTAAACCAATAACAATATTTTGAGGTTTGCTATTTTGTAAAGTGCTTTGAAAATGTATGTAGATACCCATACAGAATGTGCTTATCACTGTAAGAAATTTGAAATCACTGGATAAAAACGCTAAGTAATATTAAAAATATTTATCAAGGTCTTCGCTATAGGCAAGATTTAAATTTACCCTGGAAGGAGGGACTGTGGAGTTGGCGTTGGCCCATTCAGGGCATACATGCTTATGCTGCTGATCCCACTGCTTGCCATACTGCACGCACTCTGGGCAGACTGAGCATTGCGGTCCTGATAATTCAATGGAAGGCTTTGAGGCCTGGCATAGTAGTAAGGGGTTGAGTGAGCATCTCGCGGCAATGCTTGAGCAAACAACGTGGCATAACTTGACACCTTAAAGACAAAACACAAAGATCTAATTCTGAGTTACTTTAATCAAACACATCAGTAGCTAAAATATTTCTCTCTCCAACCGTGTGTCTGAACTGTTATTGCCTTTCCTAATAGTAAATTGAAGTCAGGTATATACTAGAAAAGGTTTGCTGGTATAGCTATATTGACAAAACCCTCTTAACGTAGACGCAGCTTATACCAGCCAAAGAATGCAATTGGCAGCATAATTCATTTCACTTGCCAAACTGGTATATGCTATCCCAGCAAAAGGACATTTTTGCCAGCATAACTGCAACTACACTAGGACATTTGTTACTAGCAAAGTGTTGCCAAAACACCACATCCCCAACCAAAATTGCTATACCAGCAAAAAAAAAAAAAAAAAAAAAAAAAAAAATTCAGTATGGACTTGACTTAAGTTAAATCTATCCAAAGTGTTCCAGATAATGACTGCCTCACATGTTTAAGTATAAAACTGAATAATTAATTAAAGAGAATAGCTTCTTTAATTCTCATTGTTAGAATATTTACACAAAATACATTTTAAAAAGCATCCTTATATTTAATTAAAAATTGCTTCCAGCCTTTCCAAGGACTTTGCAGATACTTTCCTTTTTGAAGATGTTTGTTTTACTCTGTATGTTAACATCTCTTAACATTCCCATTTGGGATTTGTACTGAATTTTAAAATATTTATTGAAGAAACAAAGAACCCCTTACCTACCTTGTTAGACTGCTTACGTGGGTCTTCACTAAGGCTGAGCAGGAGGTAGAGTATTGACCATTTGTTTTTCAGGACGCCCTATTCAGAGATAGGCATGTATTAGATAATATCCAGTTAAAAATAGACATTGCTCCACAATTATTTCCAGAGTTTATTACATTTTTACCCCTACCTCACAACCTAGATCATAAACAACTAATTTCTACATTGTAGTTGTAACGAGCAGGCTAAAACTGTAACACACCAAAACTACACAAAAACATAATTTAAATATACACAGGCAGGATGTCTGAAGTCATGTTCTCAAGGTAGTGACACTGGAGTTTATATGTCAGTTCTATAAAGAAAATTTCCTCCAGCATTCAACATTCTTGTGTCACAAATGCTCACGTGCACTGAAAGGGATCAACTAATCAGCATACCAAATTTAAAATTCACAGTTAACGATAAAGGAAGTTTACATACTGCTTCATGTCCACCATACATCAATTTGATCTAAATCAGCATCTTGGATTAACCTCTACTTTCTACAATAGAAGTGAGCTGGAAGACCCAATCCTTGAGAAATCTAACAAATAGCTGCCTTTTCTCTGCTGATCCCCCTTCAGGGAGGTTCCAGAATAAGAGGGATCTAACCTGGGATTACTATAATCTCTATAAAGAACACAGAGACAAAGGAAACTACCAAACTATTTACGAAGTACGAAGTCGGAGGCACAGAGATCACATAGCTGTACTCAACTGTGGACTGTACCAAAACAAAAACCAAGAGAAAGGAAAAGTGGAGCTGTGTTGGCTGCTATCTTGAAACACAGCATTATCAACCTTTTAAATCTCAGCAGGAAAGTTGACCTGCAAGAGATAACTTAATGGTACAGCCATGTCAGATGAATTCCAATGTCACCTTGTAAGGAGTAATGGACAAGTGTATAAAGATTTCCTTGTTTTCACTGCACATTAATACACATGGAAGCATATACTCTATTCTACACCACTAACTCACAAATATAAGGGAGTTTGATGGCGGACAACTTTCAAACGGGTTAATGATGTAACACTTCATGGGGAATCAGTAGCAGAGTTGAGGAGAATGAGATTTTATAGAATTTTCCCAAAAAGTGATTTTTTCCCCCTTCTAAATTTCTTTTGTCTAAATTTTGTAACAGTGCAACCTTACCAAATCAGGAAATTCAACTTTATGTAAGAAATCTTTACAATTTAGATTTTGCACTTAACTCTAGAAATTTGACTAGAGTTACAATCATGAAAATGGAGAATATTGTGTTCCATGCACTTCTACCTTTCTTTTTCCATTTCTTCAATAAAAAGGCCCTTAACTTTAATTAAATTAAATATTATGTCAGCAGTTTCCAACATCCCTCTCTGTGTAGAATACACAGGGACACATGATCCAAGTGAGATCATATGTCCAATCGCTAGATTTCTATGGTCATGGACTCTTTGTCTTGCATCTTCTGAGACAATTTATAATGAAGAACCCCTAGACAATTTTGTAAAAGGTCACTTTCTAGAACAGTGTTCTTTAATTAGAGGCTGGCAGGCCAGATCTGGCCACATGGGGTCTTCGCTTGGCCTGCTGGACATCAACTATGTCGCTGGGGGTTCCACTGCAAGGATGGTCCCACTACCCAGTTCCAGCTCACCCCAGGCTTCCAGCAGCTCTGGCCCTTGTGCTATCTTGCCAGTCCCAGCTGCAGCATCCCCATGCTGGCCCACCCGCTGAGCACCCCCACACTCTCCACCTGACCAGCAGCACCTGCCGGGTCAAAGGACGCTCTAAAACTGTGTAGGAAAAGGGGCCTCCTGGAGGGGAGCACAGGGGCCAGAGCCGCCAGGAGCACGCTGGAATTGGGTAGTGGGGCCACCCTCACAATGGAGCCCCCAGTGGATATAGGAAGGAACAGCTGATGCCCAAAAGGCCCTAGCAAAGTCAGTACAAACTAAAATTTCATACAATGACTTGTTTATACTGCTCTATATACTACGCACTGAAATGTAAGTACAGTATTTATATTCCAGTTGATTTATTTTATGATATGGTAAAAATGAGAAAGTAAGCAGTTTTTCAGTAACAGTGTGCTATGACGCTTTTGTATTTTTAGGTCAGATTTTGTAAGAAGGAAAGGTTGAGAGCCACTGTTCTAAACCTTTTATCATTTTTGTTGCTCTCTTCTGGACTCCATCCAATTTATCCACATATTTTTTAAACTATAGTGACCAAAACTAGATGCAACACTCCAGCTAAGACACAGTGCCTCCTGTGTTTTACGTACAATACTCCTGTTAATACACCACAGAATATTAGTCTTTTTCAGTTGAATCTCATTGAATATGAGTCAACAATTTGTGATGCACTATAACACCCCAGATATTTTCAGCACTATTACTGCCTAGCAAAATGGTTATTCCCCATTTTGTAGTTGTGCAGTTGACTTTTTCCTTCCTACCTGTAGTACTTTGTACTTGTCTTTAATGAATTTCATCTTGTTGATTTCAGACCAATTCTCCAATTTGTCATGATCCTTTTTAATTCTAATCCTGTCCTCCAAAGTGCTATCAGTCCCTCCCAGTTTGGTGTCATCGTCAAATTTTATAAACATATCCTCCACTCCATTATCCAAGTAATTCAATATTGACTAGTACCAGAATATTGACAGATTCCTGGGGAACCCCACTAAATATTTCCCATCACTATGATAGACAGCCATGGATAACTACTGAGTATGATCTTTCAACTAATTATGCACCCATTTTGCAGTAAATTTCATCTACACCACGCTTCCCTGGTTTGCTTATGAGAATGTTGGGAGTGTCTCAAAAGCCTTACTAAAAATCAAGATAACATGTCATCTTTCCGCCCACTAAGCCAGTAACTCGGTCAATAGAAGGGAATTAGGTTGGTTTGGCATGATTTGTTCTTGACAGATTCCTTATAACACTATTACCCTCTAGGTGCTTACAAATTGATTGTTTAATAATTTGTTCCAGCAGCTTACAGGTATTGAATTTAGGCTGACTAGCCCATAAATTCCCTGGGTCGTCTCTGATCCCCTTTTTAAAAGATAGGTATTTTATATACACACACCAGAGGTGGCCAAACTTACTAGACCTCTGAGCCACATACAACAATCTTCAGAAGTTCAAGAGCCAGAGCACACCTGCTGGGAGCCAGGGCTCGGGGCCTCAGCCTCACTCCTGCTGAAGCCTCAAACCCTGGCAGGTGTGCCCCGCAGGGCTGAAGCCCAGAGACCCTCCTCCCCACTGGACAGAAGCTCCTACCCCACCACCTCACTGCAAGGCAGAGGTCCCAAGCTCCCCCCCACCCCGACCCAGTCTGGTAGGCGGAGAATAGGGGGTAGGGAGGGGGCTTGCAAGCTGCACTTTAATGGTAAAAGAGCCACATGTGGCTCACGAGCTACAGTTTGGCCACCCCTGATACATACCCCTTTCCTGTATTATCATAGCACCTGGGAGCCCTAGTCATGGACTATGACCACTGTACTAGGTGCTGTAAAAAAACAAAATGTATGTTAGAAGTCCTCATAGGTCAGATGACTACTCCTTTCTGTGATTAGTTCAGATATTCAGCAAACTGGGCAGGGCATCCAAATTCCACCTGCTGGAAACAACTGAACCAGCGAAGACCTCATTAACGGAGGGGAAGCAGGACGAAGAAGAATGACGTAAGATTTTGATGTACTGGCCAGCTGTGATGTGATAAACCTTAATGTCAACTGATGAAGAACAAATATAGCTTGTTGGATAAGATATACCCCACTAAATACGTATGAACTGGCCTCGTGAGTCCAGGGAGGGGAGATGGAATTCACAAGTACCAAGCAGCTTTCACTTTAAAGGAAAAGTAATTACTACACTTTTGAAATAGATAGTGTCCAAGACTGTTGCAAAAAAAGTTACTCGTCATAAAACACATATCCATACCATCACCACCCACATATAAAATGTGGAGGAAAAGGATTTTCATGGCTAATACTACACCTAACAGCACAAAAAAATTTCTGTGGAATCAGTTGTGTAGCTGCTGTAAGCAGGGGAATGGTCCCGCTATTGTGGGGAACTTTCCTGGCTTCTGCACTACCCCAGTGGAATCAGACAGCAAAAGTATCTGAGTCCCTTGCTCCAACGCCCTTTACCCAGACACCTGCCTGACCTTGAGGACTTCCCTTTCCCTCTCCTGTGAGGCAGAGTCCTTGTAACCCCAATAAGGTTGGGCCCAGGATTCCTGGGAGGCTAGGCCCCCCAGTCTCATCATGGTCACTTAGGACAGGGGCTAAGGTGTCCCCACCTCAGGGTACTCTCTCCACACCAGCCACTTCCCTGGCCCAGTGAGCACTACATTAAGTTCAAACAAAATACAATTTATCAAACAGAAAGAAACACTAAGAAAAATAAGGGGGGAAAAAAATCAGAAAGATTAAAGGAAACAAGTAACCCCGCCCTATCGGCATAGGGAAACCACAAACAGCAGTATCTAGGACGTAGGAAAAGTTCACAGTCTATTCCTCACATGTCCCAGGCCTCCTTCCCAGGCCCTGGCTGCACTGCAGTGATACCACGGGTCAGACGTATGCTCTGGTGGTAGCCACATGCCCTCACTCTCTCCCCAGCACCAGCCCTCCCTCTAAATCCAACCTGCAAGACCTTGTCTGGCGATGTGTCCCTGTGCCGGGCCCTCGTTCTCTCCAGCCGCTCACTGCACTCGACGCCAGTATTACTTATGGCACAGCGCACATACGCTCCCCAGCTCTGGCCCTGCAGCTTCCCTCTGTAGCTCAGCCGTGGCTGCTCTAGCTCTGGCACTGCTTTGGCTCCATGCTGCTGCTCAGCCTCCAGCCCAGCTCTGCTTTCTAGGCTGCTTCTCTGGCCCCTCTGGCTGCTGCTGCTCTGCCTCCAGCTCAGCTCAGGCAGCTGCTCTCCCCTTAGCTCTGTGCTACTGTGGCTCAGGCAGCTCCGGAGAATGGACCCCAGGCTCCTGACTCCCTCATTGGCCTACCTGCCTTGTCAATCAGGTTAATCTGGACTGTTGGCCTCTCCCTATGGGCCTTGGGGACTGTCAGTCTCAGGATCTTGATTTCTCATTGGCCCTTCCCCTTTTTTTTTGGAACTGGGAGATGGACAACCAAAGAAATCCCACTAAGTTTCAGTAAGAGGCCAACAGTCCCCTTACACTACTGTTAGCATTCAGAAACCACAGTGTGTGCACTTTTCAAAAACAGGGGAAAAAAATCATTCTAGTGCTTAGATACTACAATGACAGGCATTTAAGAGAGACTGGTATAGGGAAATGGGGAGGAGGGAAGAAGGTTCCAAACAATGCCTATGAAATAGTTATAGGCTTGTTCTGGTAGATGTCAACTAACAAAACAGGGGGAACAGAAGGTTAAAGCCCGTTTAAAAGTTTAACTATGTTATATTCACATTCTTGTAATTCTGTTCACATCAGCTATTATTCTGCTTCAAGCAATGTATGGTATTTGTGCATATATGGGTTATAATTGTTTACATTTTGGTCGTTTTCATATGCTGTGTGTCCATATTACTCTTACCAAATGCTAGCTATGATAATACTACATTAGATCAATAGCAAAGTGTGTGTGTGTGTGTGGATTTTACACACACAAAAGCTACCTTAAAAGAACAAGGTAGCAAGACTGCTGACAGTAGGCCTGAGGACAGCTGCAAGTTAGTGCTGCTGAAATGGAAGAGCTGATGATGGAGCCTACTGCAACCTGGTGACACTGTCCATCACTACAGAAGCTAGAAAAGATATCTTGTATATATGTGGAATGGATGGGGAAGAAAAAAAAGGAGTAAAGGTGAGCTGATAAGCTTAGCAACAACACTGGTATTTTCAGGATTAGGGCCTTATTTTTCTAAAGCATATGCTTAACTTTAATGACTTCTTAAAATTAAATACATACGTGTTTTCAGGATTAGGACCTAAACGCAGCAATCAGATTTACTGAATGTTTCTCATTTGTAATGAGACAGGTACTACCCATCAATGGTCCACAGAGTCTAGTATTCTGACAATGGCCACTACCAGATGCTTCACAAAAAAGTGCTAAAAGTCCTGGAGTGAGCAGCTGTGGAATAACCTGCTCACAGGGAAAGTTTCTTCCTAACCCACTGAAGTCAGAGACTGACTTACGCCCAGAAGCATGAGGGTTTATATTCCTTCCAAACTACTGTATGGAATTTTTATTCTTTCTGGATTTAACTCTGGATGTTCTCCATATAAGTATCCCATTTTCATGTGAACTTGCTATGCTCTTGTTCTCAATTATATTAGCCTTTAGAATTCATTGCCACAATATAGAGTTCCTTAGTAGAACCATTTTTTTAACCTACTTAAAGGGGAAAAATAACTTTTGTGTTAAGATAAGGGGTGGCCACTGAAACATGTTAATCTTTTATTACAGTGGTTTTCAACCTGTGGTCCGCAGACCTCTGGGGGCCCACAAACTATGTCTAAGGTGTCCACAAAAAGTGACTATGAAAATAAAGTTTCAGATCCCAGAACAGGCTTTCTGTTTTTCTGATCAATCAAAAATATGTGAATACCTCCACCTACAAGTCAAAACCCAGAAGTGTTGTCATTATCATAGAAGCCCACAGTTTAGCACCCTTTCTCATGCCACATTAAATGCTATGCCAAGCATGTGCAACATTTATAGTTGAACTCTGTTCAGTCAGTTTTCAGTCTAAGACTTCTATGGAAGGGGGCGACAGACCACAGGTTGAATTTCCAAAGGGGTCTGCATCTCAATTCGAAATTTTTTTAGGAGTCTGCAAATGAAAAAAGGTTGAAAACCACTGATCAATTATACTGGAAATTTTAATCCTACATATTAGTTTTTGCCAACTAAAAATATCTCTATAAAATTTCTCCTTATCACACTATACAAAACAGATGACGTACAATACTGTCTTGTTGTCTATCTCAGTTTCACTGAGATTTTCGTCAAACATGATAGATGTTCAAGTCTGAGAATTCAGGACACATTTAAAGTATTGATTTCTTTCCATCTCATCTAAAGTTCTAGCCTTAGACTGCCCCTTTTTCTGATACGTAGACTCTACAGATTACCTTCTATTGTCAGAAAAGACTGACATACGCTGCTCTTTGATAAGTGCTTGTGTGTTAGCAGAACTCTCAAAGTCAGCAAAACCCTTAACCTTCAACATGAAAACCTCAGATCACTTAAAAACTCAAAATAAGAGGACTGCTTAACTTCTAATCAATACATCGATATACTTCAGGACACATTATCCTAAAAATAAGTGTCAGTGAGATAATCCTTCAATTTTACACATAAAAAAGTAAACACTTCTATTTTTGCAAAGCTACTTCCTTCCCATAAAATGTTCTTTATGCAGTTATACGCAAACCAAAATACTGCTGATATTTTCCAATTTTACTTTAATCCAAGCAAGTTTCTTACATTTTGAACTATAGGCAATTTAACAGCAAGTCCAGAAGAAACACATTGTAAGAATGAAATTATTGGTAAAGCCACACATTACTATACATTACTATACCTGCGAATGGAGTTTTCTGTAAAGTTCTGAAAACAAAGCAGCATCCGCTTCCCTTCTTTGTCGCACAACTGTTAAGAGAAAAAAGCTTCTTAGGGTACGAAACTTAAGAAGTCAATTATAGTAACAACATTATTTTGTATTGATACATTTGTGCAATTCGTGGAGTGGGAGGAAAGCACGAGGATAAAGAGACAGTTCACTTTCCATACACATGCACTCCTTGGCCTCCAAGGGTAAGGGTATGTCTACACTACAGGATTAATCCGAATTTAGATAATTCGAATTTGGGAAACAGGTTGTATAAATTCGATTGTGCGCGGCCACACTAAGCACATTAATTCGGTTTTTAACCACATTAATTCGGTGGTGTGCGGCCACACTACCCCATTACTTTAACCACAGTAATTCGGTGGTGTGCGGCCACACTAACCCTAATTCGAATTAACAAAATCGATTTAGGCGCTACTCCGCTCGTCGAGGTGGAGTACAGAAATCGATTTTAAGTGCCCTTTAATTCGAATTAACTGGCTCTGTAGTGTGGACGGGTGAAGGGTTAATTCGGATTAACGCAGCTAAATCCGAATTAAAGTCGTAGTGTAGACCAGGCCTAAGTCTACAGAGTAATCAAACACTTGCAGCTGGCCCAGACTCCAGCCTGAGTGGTATTTTAAAACACACTTAGAATACTGTTACAATTTTCACCTTCTACAAAACATATTGATTCATTTTAAAATTATTCAGATCTAAATGACTGAAGATGAAAGGAAGCCAGACATACGTTCTTTCTTGATTTTCTCCGCAACAAGAAATTCATCTCTTTCAACAGTAGGAGCAAAGTTGCTTCCAATAACTCTCACTGCATATTGAAACTGCTGGGCTACATCAGCTGAAAGAGGGAGGGGAAAAAAATTAGTTAAGCCAACTCTTTAAATGAAGAAAAAATAAATAAGGGCTGCCATGTTACTAAGTGATTAAGTCAAATAAAAATACAAAAAATGTAGATGTTTCAAATGAGAGATAAAATATGATAGCGACTAGATTAAATCTTTCCCCTAATACTACCTTGCATTGATATTTTGTCCTGTATGCTCTTATGCAGAAATAGTCAGTCACTTTAAGAGCACAAATCCAATTATAGAAGTAAACTACAATTTAAAAATGCTGGCACCTCCTTTTGTCAGCATATTTCTTAGCATCTTGCTTCATGCAACAAACATCATTACTATCTACAAACATGAACAGTTCAGCCAATAACATGTCTTCAGTATGGGCCAATATTCACACAAACACAAAAATGAGGGTGCATAATCTCCTTTCCCTCCCTAGTCTAAGCATTCTGCAAGTCTGAATTCCAAGAGCAGATTTCAAGGTCATGAATCAAACTGGAGATTTACTGAAGTCAAACTACAGAATCCCATGGTAACAGAACATATTGATTAGCAGAACTGCAAGAGATCTGCTTTAACCACGTTTATTCATTAGTTTTGACAAATCAATTAAACCTACAGGTACTTATTTTTTCACCCTCCCAAAATTATCTTTCAGTTTCTTAAACTGTTATGTACAAGGACTAAGTACTTTACCCCAGTAACTTTCTACCAAAAACATAAAAAGTACGCCTCCAGTTCCATTTAAAACCTACAAAATCCAACTAGTCAGCAATCAATTTCATTACGATCCCAATAAACTTATCATATGTTTATTTTAGGGATAAAATTCATAGTGGAGGCACTTAAGTATAGCAGCATGCTAATCATATGGCAGATAAGGGCAAGGTGTAGAAAATCCACTAAACGAAGACTGAGCTCTCATCTCAAATTGGCAATGGAAGACAATTAACCAGAACAATTAATGATAAGCATCTCTGAGTGCTAGATGTTGATCAACGTTAAACTAACACTAACAAAGGAAGAATCAGCTTAATCCTCAGTTTTTCCACCCATGCGAAGCAACCCAGAAGCAGGTACCATCTGAGTTGTAGAAAGAAAAAAACCCAGCAAAATTCCACAGGCACTAGGATTCAGCTTAAGGGAGGAAGACAACAATTCTCCCCTCCTCCTGCCCTAGCACTACCTCTCAAATACCACTTATCCAACCCCAACCACTCTCCAAGGATCTTTGCAGCAAGTTCAAATTAGTGGGCTATAGAATTTGAGCAAGTCCTGAAAAGCAATAGCTGGTGGATTTGAGGTCCCAAGTGGAAAAGTCTGACAAACTGTATTATATAACACTGCCATCATATCATTTGAACTTTTGTGTAAGTATTCAGATATTACTAGTTGTTATGAAAGGTTTGGCTCTGTATATGTGTGCAGAGTTACGTAAAGGTCTTCACTTTATGCTTTTGCAAATATATTTGTAAGTCAACAGAAATTAAGCTACAGCAATATCTTAAAACAAAAAAAATGCACTTCAAAAATTGTTGAGGGTGTTAAAGTGTGAGGTAAATCATCACATTTTCATAAATTCGAGCACTTAAGAGCAGGTACATCAAAAATCTTCCACTGGCCATGCACACATTTTTACTACTATAAATAAATGTTTTAATTACAATACCTTAACTCTGAAATATTAATTTTAAGTGTACTACTTTGTTATCTAGAGATACTTTTGAGAGAGATATGGGAGAGCAGTCAGTCAATATCTCAAAGCTTGTCTCTCTTACCAGCAGAAGTTGGTCCAATAAAAGATATTACCTCACCCACCTTCTCTCTCTAATATCCTGGGACTGACACAGCTATACCACCACTACACATCCCCCTCATTACGGGCAGTAGAACTTTTGTTACAGCACTTATTTGAGAGGGAGTTGTGTATACTGTCTATTAGGACAGTGACTATGATATCAATTTATAGCACCACTATGGTATGTGGACTTTCATTTGAAGCTGATCAATACAATTTCTATTTTTCAAATCTATTGCATTTATATTTTGAGATTACCAGTAAAAATAACATTTATTTTGGGTCACAGTTAATGGTGTATGTGTGTTACAATTACAAACACATTCCTTTGTAGCAAGTAAAACTGTATTGCTTTCTGTGTGTCTAAGAAATTGCCGTTATTTCAGAACTAAACATTTTGCTATCTGTGCCCTTGAAAACTGCCTCTACATGAACCAATGTAAAAGTCTACCTATGTTTCTAGTTCTGTGGTGCAATATGCTTTTGCTGTGTAGATTATGGGACAAAAGACATGGAAGCAAAAGTTTCTAAACAGTTATTTTGAAATCTTATCCATATTCAATTTAACAACAAAATTTAAAAACAAATCCTCATCAGTGAGAGACTTAACCCTAAAAAGGATATTTTGGGTTATCCTGACTTGGAGAGACTATCTGTTGCCAAAATGGTAATTCAGTCTCCTTATCCATTCAGTCCTTGCTCTCTGCTAAGACTGAACCAATGAACTTTTGGTCCCTCCTTTAATAATTCGAGAGACTAACCTTCAGAATTTGAGACTTATCTTAAGATTCATATTGGACCTGCAGTCATACAATAGCTTTGATTCAAAATATTTACCTATCCCACCAAGATTTCAAAGTCCTTGATTTGCAAGAGACTCGCTTTCTGTGGCAGTGCTTTTGGTGGTAGACTCCTGACTTCACGTACAGAACAAGCAAGATGGCATACAGTAGTCGTAAGAAATAAAGATATATTTAACAGTAAGATGTCCAATAGCAACACACACAGGAAGTTTATTACATAAGCAGATGTATTGTTGAATTGTCCTTCTCCCCCAAATGTCCCCCATGAGACATTAGATGAACTTAAAATATAAGTGTACACACACACAATACACACATTTCATTGTATAAATATGTAAACAAGTGCAACTGCTATGCAACACTGCCATCTTGATATGCCTAATAGATGGGAAGGATGGAATTGTTTATGGAAGATGTGATTTAATTTTCAGTGTTCTGATGTGAGCTCTTTATGCAGAGAAAGGAAGCAAGCAGAAGACTGTCAAAATTCTAAAAATTATGACTACAAACATAGTGGAATAACGCCATTAATTGTAAGCGACTATATTTACCAAATACATAAAAGTTAAAAACAGTGTAAAAAGCTTGCTACATTCAGAGGAGGGGAAACAAAACAAAAAAAAAATTCAATAATTCAAGATCTATAAAATCTTAATTTGAATTGCCTAAAATAGATTACGTTCTATCTGCAAATGCAAATTTCTGATAGTAGAGAATGTCCTTTATGCACGCATCCATTCCTCCTCTCCCCCTGTATGATGCAGTTTTCATGTTCTATTTCAAAGCCTAAAAGGAGCTTTAAACAAAGCACATGTGAAAAGTGTAGAAAAACTAAAGAGGGAAGGAGGGAGAATCCTTGGTGGGCAAAACCAAGGAAAAATAGTAAGAAATGGTATAATTTAAAAAGGAGGAAAATACGAGAAAAATACAGGAATTTAATTATAGTGGCTAGATAATTTTTATTTCCAGATAAGCCTGATAAATTGGAGGACAGCCTTCCGGAACATTCCTTTTATTCGTAAGCAACTGATCTGCTTCAGTGCACTTCCCAAAGTTAGTAATATCAGACAATTCTCACACCTTTCAAGAGACTACAGCTATTGGAAGAGATTTAGGGGGG